TTTTGTTTCTTTCTCTATTTTCCTATTCTTTTACGCCGTTCTTTCTTTTGTCTCTTCCCTAACCATCTATCTATCACTCTATCTATTTTCTTCATTTTCTCCATCTATCTATCTGTTTATCTATCTGTCTATCTATCTGTTTGCCTAGCTCTCTCTCCACATCTATCTGTATCTATGTATCTATCTATCTACCTATCTATCTATGAATGTATATCTTTATCCATTGACCTATCTACATATCTATCCATCTATCTATCTATCTATCCCTGTCTTCAAAGATCTTGGTTTTAGCTTGCGATGGACTTTACTTTCGAGAGGCACTCCAATCAGGAGAGGAAGCTGCACAGATTGGACAAGTCCCGCAGTATGTCCCCTGGATTTTGTTGCGCTTTGCACGCGCAGGACATCGCCAACCTGATTTGGCCCAAGCTGAAAGTGGGGCTGTGCCTGCCACTGCGAAAGTGCTGCGCCTGCCACGATATCTGTACTTGGCCTTGCGAAAGTGTTGCGCCTGCCACGAAATTTGCACCTCGCCTTGCGAAAGTGCAGCGCCTGCCACGCAATTCAAGCCTCAAGAAAACTTGGCCTTGCGAAAGTGCTGAGCCTGCCACGAAATCTGTACTTGACCTTGCGAAATTGCAGCGCCTGCCACGAAATCTGCACCTCGCCTTGCAAAACCTTCGCGTTGCCGTGCCAATGGGCCCGTGCTCCGAACGTGTTCCGAGACCGCTCCGAACGTGGTCCGAGCATGATCCGAACGCGGTCCGACCAGGCGCCGCGAACAAGCTAGCTTTCAGCTCTCCGGACATGCAATTCACGTGCAGGGCCACGTTTTTTGCACATTTCTATTCTCCCACCACACGCACGCACATTTTTCCTCGTGTGCTTATTCCTTCTCTTGTCATCTGTCTCAGAGAGCTGGCTTTCAATTAGTTGCCGTAACACGGAAGTTCCTTCTAAACTTCCTTTGATGATTATATCAGAACGCTACGGACAACGATGATGATTATGGTTTTGATGATACTGATGGTGATGAATCATCACTATGCATCCACAACATCACCGGCAGGGATGAATCATCACTATGCATCCCCAGTAGTCATGATGATAATCATGCCTATGCATCGCCTACATCTCAAGTCGGGTCTAACGGCACACTTGAAATGTGTATCAAATAGATAAGGACGACGATGATGATGATGATGACGCCATGACGCCATGATGATGATGATGATGATGATGATGATGATGCTGATGATGCTGCTGCTGCTGATGATGATGATGATGATGATGATGCTGACGGTGCCTACCGTGTGATCTAAACTATATGCAGCATCACCAACCCGTATATCGAAAGATAAGGACGATGAGACAAGCTACTGGCAGGATCAACCTAGATTGATGATCACCATGACGATGATCACGAGGATGATGATGAGCATCATGATGGTGATGATGATGCTGCTGATGATGATGAATCTTCGGCTATGCTCATGTGTCAGCCACACTTCCCGCGTGCCTCCCCTCTTTGGCGAGGGGTCCGCGGATTATCGTTCAAGAAAAAATCACAAGATATAGATAAGAGACGGTAGAGATTTCAACGCTGTTCATTTCTGGAAACGCTTGCTGGGCAAATTGCGACCATTGTTAGCTTTATTGGACGTACATGCGTAGACAGCATAGCAATTTAGGCAGGATCTCAATTCTAAGATGGTTCCACTACCCTGAAACCACTTCTGTACCTCCACAAGAAATTGAGTACAAGTCGCGAAACAGGGGTTGCAAGTCCCATGAAACCTCTGGGGTGGTGGTTTGGGGGAGTGGGAAACATGTTTCTTCAATGTCTGATTGCCATGAGAAGTGGTTCTGCTCAAACACGTTGTGTTCCATTTTGCACAATTTATGCACCAATGACCGAATTCCATGCAGCTTCCTGTTTAACAGTTTGTGAGAAACGTTTCGATGCACTGCTAGTTTTTTGTTCTTGATGATTGACCGTCATTTCTTGTGAGGCCCATGAGGAAGCCCGTGGAATTCTGCCCGAGTTGGCACATTTGCTGGAGCGAAACGCGGAGAGCAAGGCGGCCAGCGCCTAAGGCCACAAAACAGGAGTTCTTCCGCTGGAGCATGCCCCTTCGTTTTGCTGGGAAGGGGGGATGTATTTGCTTGTTTTTTGTTTTTTTTTTTTGTTTGGAAGAGGTACATTGTTGAATGGGGGTGTCTCTAGTTCGAATGGGGGAACGGCTGCGGGTCGCAAACACCAACTCCACCGCGCGTCAAACAAAGTGGTCTCAGCTGGAGGCTCTGGAAAGAGATCGCAAGCTCGCACTTCTTCGAGAGATGCAGGCAATGCCAGAGTCTACACACGCAACGTCTTCTTGAGAGTCATCAACAGATTGCTGATAGTTCCTGCATGTGTAAGTTTTAGCTTGGCAGGTTGTTGGTATGACGACAACTGCTGTTTCCAAGTATCAGCAATTGCTGAAGGACAGAGAAGGTGAACCTGCTTCACGCTGTTCACTCCTTTCATGACATACGAGCCTTGACATTGGACCGCGGAGGAGTTGCGGCCGGAGATAGTCATAGTTGAGGAGGCTGCAGAAGTTCTCGAAGTTTGCCTCTCAGCTCTGAGATTATTCCTTATCACATGAAGCGGTGAGCCTTGAAGTCAACGTCGCTTCAATAGGCTCAGCGATAGCTTCAGTCTCATGCCATGAGCAGTCAATCATGCTATCACCACTTCCGCAGGCACTGGCCAGCTTTAGACTGGAAAACACACATTTCTGAAGCGCTGCTCTTGAGCTCATTAACTCTGCATTATCGAGCATGCTGAACTGCATTGTGCAGCGGATCGATTGACGCAGTGGCCTGGCGCTCGCAGGTGTCTCAGGGACATTTGTTGCTTGTATGATCTGGTGTGCAGGTTGACATGTATATACACAACATGTATATACATATAAATCAGCTGTTGACATCGCTGCATTGAACCAATGAAGTAAGATACAACTTGTGCTGGTGTCCAAGCATTCAGATCGAACATGAGGTTCTAAATCTCACTCGCCACGTCAATATAGCATTACATGTGTGTATATATATATGTATATATATATATATCAGCGCTGTTGATCACGCTTGTGAGTCCTGAGGCAATGGGCTCCTACACTTCGGGATGCTCTGCAGATTGTGAGAATTGCCTGACGCCAAGTTTATTGGTTAGTCGACAGTCGTTTCAAAGTACACGCTTTTCTCAATTGGAGATCGGACTGCTTCGCCAGAATCGCGTCAAGGCACTACCTGCACGCGCCATGGGCCGATCTGCATGTTTGTTGTTATTGCTTAAAGCTGAAACATGGTGAAATGCATCCATTCGTGGCATTTTTTGCTTGACAGGTGTGGTCATTTGTGCTTGATCCAGAGAGAGAAGGAGCAGAAAGCTGTCATGAAAACCTTCACGGTCAACGCCACCGCTGCGCCCTGAGAGGCAGCCGACTTTCGTGAATTGAACTCGAAATTAAGGCTGCCGATGACAACGTCTCTCCCGAGCTTGCGGCCAAGCTTAGTCACTTGTGTTATCAAGTTGAGCAAAGGACATGAGCCCAAGAGCCCAAGAGCCCAAGATGTGGTTGATTGGATGGTAACATCCCCCCGTGCTTTTGCTGACTCTCTCTTGAAGCCAGTGCCAGCACAAGGGGCATGTGGAAGCGATAAATGCAATTCTTGCTCAGACGCACAGGTTGCAGAGGTATGCAGTGCATGGCAGCGAAGATCAGCCAAGTCAAAACGCCTTCACCTCAGAGCCTTGCAAGTAAGAGGTAAGCTTCAGTGAAAAGTGTTTTTTGTTTCCAGCGGCAATGTCAGGTTTGCTTTGGCATTGTGCAGGGTGAGGAGGCGCAACCTTGATGACAGTGTTTCAGTGTGCGGCTATCGGCTGATCGGCAGGTGCTCTTTGAGGAGGCGCCTCTGCCATCAGTTGTCAAGTTGTAGAGGCAGTGCAGTATGGCACGGACCAGCGGGCATGACAGTCAGTTCATGCCTTTTGTGCAGGCTTCTCGCAAGGGTGGATCTCACGAAGACGAGGTGACAAGTGCTGAGAAGGAAGACTAAGAATCATAGCCTGGCATGTTGTCAACTCAGTCTCTGTCTCACGCGCCCAGGTTTATCTTTCTTGCACGACGCATATTGTTTTGATTCCTGCAAGGTGGAAGGCTCAAGAAAAGGGTCGCATCAGGGCAACAGATAAAGCGAGTTCAACATGTTCATTGATCGCATTTTGCCCTACACCGTTTCCTCGGACCGAGCCATGACCGTGCGACCTGTCGGGAAGGCTAGCAGCCTTCATTTCATTACCAAACATGGCAAGAGGAAACGGTTGAAACTGGAGGCATCAAAGTGTTCCAGATCGAGGCGCGCTTTATGCAGGATTCCGACTGCATTCCTGTCTTGAGCAGGCATCTTCTGCATGGAGCAGCTTTAGTCGCAGGCGTGAGACTAGAACTTTGGGAGAGTGAGCTTGATGTGTGGCAGGCCTTTTGTGCCTAGCACCAGCAGTGGGATTTGCTGATACTGGTGCAGTTGAACAGGCAGGACGAAGCAGGCACTGCGACGCTTACTGCGTGCCACATGCTAGTCGCTGCAAGGTGCAGGTGCCGGATCGACAAATCAAAGCATTGATTGCAACAAGCCGAGAGGCCAGCACACAGATGCCAGTGACTATAGTGACTTCTAAAACTATGTTCATTGTCATGGAGCTTGCCATTCTGTTCAGTTTGAACTGCTTGGCTTAAAGTGACTTACTTCTCGTGCAGATTAGAATGTGTGCAGTTGGCGTTGCCTTCCCTGTTCGTTGTATTGCTTTGAATATTTGTTCCGCAGTTTTTGCTTGTTTGCTTCTAAAACATGCAGGAGTTGTTTGAGTTTCACGATTGTAAAGGTTCGGCAATTGCGCCTTGGAAATGCGCGCTGCGCCAAGGCACGAGCTAGAACAAACTGGAGGGAACCCAAAAGCAGAAGCCCAAAGGCGGAATACCGAAGCGCCGACGGAAGGGGCGCGGAAGGGGAGCCTGCCCTCTCCCACCAGCTCCTCAACCCTCCTCAACCTTGGAGGGGCGCTTTCCAGTGGCTCAGGGAGAGCACAGATCGAATGCTCGTCAGCGAACAAGACTTGCCAGCAACAACAACGGCAACGACAAGACGAACGCCAATGCCAATGCCCTACAAAATAAAGGCTCAACAACGAGGCCAAAGCTGTGGTCGCGCAAGCAACATGCCTCTAAATGCTGCAACCTTATTAGTCTTGCTTAGTGCTGCCATGGTACTGCGTTGGTACTTGTTTAATGCTGGTTTAGTATTGACTTAGTGTTGCGTCGTGCTGCCTTAGTGTTCGCTTATTGGTTTAGCGGTTTATTTTGTTTTGCTTATTGCTGCCTTGTGTGGCGAAAGGCTGCTTATCAGAACTTGCAGAACTCACACGAGAGTGCAAGGACATTGACCCTGACGTTGATATCATGTGTTTTCGTTTTGTCGCTCAACCCACACCTAGCAGCTGCTTGCTTGGTTTGAGATTGTTTGGCGGCTTGTTTGAGTTTGGCCTGATTTGCCTGCGCAGGCGCAATATCGAAAAGGGCAATCAACATCTAGCAGCTGCTGCTTTGGTTTGAGATTATTTGCTTGGTTGTTCTCGTGTCTAGCGTGCTTGCTTGCTTGCTTGGTTGGTTGGTTGCTTGCTTGCTTGCTTTCTTGCTTGCTTTCTTGTTTGCTTTCTTGCTTGCTTGCTTGCTTGCTTGCTTATTGCTTGTTTGTGGCTTGCTTGACTACTTCTTATTTCTCGTGCTTGTTGCTTGCTTATATACTTGATTGCAGTTCGCCCGCTTGCCAGTTTGCCCGCTTGCCTGCTTGCCCGCCTGCCTGCCTGCTTGCCTGCTTGCCAGCCTGCTTGCTTGTTTGCTCGCCTGACTGTCAGAGCATACTGGCCAGGTGCGATCATTGAAAGACCTGGTTTGAATCTTAGTGTTGCTTCAAGTGGGCTAGTGCGCAGAACACGTCATGCACTGGACAACTGCCTGAAAAGGTGCAAAAGCAGGGAATAGTGCCAAACTTCGGCCAAATCGTTTGGAGCTTAAAAACTGTTTCCGTGTGTGATGACTCCCTGTATTGCATCAGACTCTGGAATGTGTTGAAGCTGTATGAAGCATGCTGGTAAGGCAGACAGAATCGTGAAGCGTGGTCTGAGAATTGCTGGTGAGAACGATGGCTCTGGGCTGGAGAAGGCAAATTGGGTGTGCACCGTGCGCCACGTTGCCGAGTCAAAGCCCAAAGCAAGGCACTGGATGCTCCATTGCAAGAGCTGTTCCGCGAACAGCTCCATACGCTGCTGGCTAACTCCTTAGATTCTGCTTGCGCACTTCCGAGAGAGATCTGCACTGCTTTGCATGGGGGAGATTTCGAAGTGCCAGCCGGGCCTTTGTTTTGGAAGCTTAAGCTTGCCATTCGGCCCGTTGGCATGCAGAGCCCGGCAGAGCTCAGATTTTGTTGCAGAGGCGAGGGCAGCGGACCGCTATGAAGCAACAATGGCCGTGAGGCCAAATCCTGTCGAGGCTGCACAAGTCCAGCCGTCAAGTAGGTTCACCATAGGGAATGCTGGGGGTGAAAAGGCATCTCGAGCTGCAGAAGCTTGCTTCAAAGCAGGCAGGCAAGAGAGACTTAGCAACAGCCACACCCTGAAGACCTGAAACATGACCGGCAGGGGCTGAGGCGCTTGTGCGCCCGGGAAGCGAGTGGAGCTACGAGGCCCGGTTGAGACAGTCCTTGGTTGTTTCAGGCCGTGACCCTCAGATGCCAGGATGAAATGCGCGATTTACTGGCGCGCATTTCAGACTGCGCTGGTGCTAAACTTAGTGTGCCCACAGTCTTGCGCTCTCTATCTCTCTCTCTCTCTATCTCTCTCTCTCTCTATCTCTCTCTTTTCTTATTTGTGTTTGAGTATTAATGTGAGTGAGATTCTTTTGGTTCCATTTGTGCCTGGAGTGTGTAGTGCAGCCGAGGTCAAGACACGCAGCTGATACAGGAACAGGGCATGTGATGGCCCCAGTTTGCGCGGTGTGTTTGATTTGCCACCTGAGGGCACTGTTGAGAGGATACTGTTGGCAAAGGCTGAACAAGACCAGTTGCTTAGTGGACTACGTTTGTAAAAACTGTGGCATGGGTGTCGCACAGTGCACACTTGTGGGACCCTCCTTGTTTCCCAATCCCAGCCTGTCTGCTTGACGAAGTTGTAGCTCTTTGGTGTAACAGCGCAAACAGTGAGGGCCAATGAAACCGACCCATCGCCATGCGCTCTTTTTAAAAACTACGAGCACGTCTCACACTTTGCACGGATGACATTTGATGGGTCATGTTATATAGACTAGATATACACATACGGTAGATGGAGGAAGTTTTGCATGACTTTTGAGACTGCTCCGCTCCGTGCCATCTTGTTACGACTTGCAGCCCCCTTATCAACACAAGTTGGCTTGGGGAATGAAGATTCATGGAGTAGATTCGACGCGGTCAGCGGTTGAGGCTGACGTGGGGGTTGCCTCTGTTTATGTCCATGTAGTGTGTGCCAATGTGT